GGCTGTAGACAGGAGTTGTGATACTGAAATCTGGTTCCTTTTGGATTTCCCCTTCGACATCTTCAACATCCACTTCCCTTTTCTCCCTTCAACATCTCCTATGTCTAACTCGAGTACTTCCCTTTCCGGGTCCTCCGTCCCACAGCTGCTCTGTGCCTCACACTTGCTGGGGTGTCCTAAGCAAACAGTGGAGCCTGCTTCACCAGGTGAGCCACAAAACCCACCCTTTTCCTGACCTGGTGCAAGTTCTTGCGTGGCCAAGGGCAGACCTCTTGAGCCGCTCTTGTCTGAGCCACATCTCTAACAACTCTTTTCAAGTAAGAATTTAAAATGTTTTAATTTTCAAACATCTCTGCTTTCAGATTTGAGATGTGAGAAGGTGTTTGTGTACTTGTCAAACACCCAGTGGCAATTTCATTCCCCTGTGTGTGGCTACACAGAAGGTGTATGCTGATAAGTTGTGCCACACATGAATTATGCTTGTCCATGCTGCTGTTCCATGAAGGTTTGGTAGAAGAGATCCATTCTTGGAACTATATTGAAGTCTTCAAGTATAATCCAAAAATGCTTCTGTTCTCCAGATATGTTCTTGTGCTCTCTCACTGGAGGGTGTCTGTCTCTTTTGGGGGCTAGCATAGAAATGCTCTTTCTTTTATATTCACAAAATATAAGTTGTCAATGAAAATTAATGTGTACTTGGGGGGTATACAGATAAAAAAAAGTAAAAGAGAGGAGGGCAGAAAATAAAGAGAGTACCTTGTACCTTGTCACCAGCCTGAGGCTGTGTGTGACTTGATATCATTACAGAGCCTTGAGTTTCCTGAAATTATAAAGCAACTTCAAAGAGAGAGGCCAGCGTGTTTTGAGTAAGAGTGGAACAGTTCTACCCTCGTGGGTAGCATGAAGAATTCCACTCTTATGCATTGAATATTAAATGCTTCAGAATAGAGGTGCTTGAAGCTCTGACAACAACTGTAACTTCCCCTTGATGTCATATGCAAGGTTAGTATTAGTTTGGGTTAAAATAATTTCTGAGCTAAAGGAGTTTGGCATGGTTGTGACTATGGAGTCACTGAAATGTACGGAATCAAATCTTTGTGGGTATTAATCACAGCATAAATGTTTGGATCACTTATTTAAACTGCTATTGCATTAAAGTGTTTGTGGAAAAATACTTGTTTTGCAAAGAACTACAAAAGTATTCCATCAAGTTCTGACTTCAACACACTGGTAAGAGTGCAGTTCCAGTGAGTGATGCTGTTGGAGTTCTCCACTCATCTTTGTAGAAAGGATGCTTTTTTGAGAGTTGTGATTTTTTTCCTCTCCTAGACTGTAGGTTTTTCCAAGGTACAATGGAAACAAAGGGATTCTCATGACTGTTTTAACTGTACTTGATGGGAATAATTTTTGCAGACATTATGCTGAATTCAGCTTCTCATAGAAACCCTGTAGTGGACATTCCATGGCACAGAGAGCAAAACTGTGAGTTCAGGCAGCAGTGTCTCATAGTCTGGCAGGATAACAGGTGACCTCTTCCCTCCATCTCTGGCCAGGGGCATCTTGCAGTGATTCTTTCAGGCAGAACATGGCTTGCAGGTAGAACATGTTGTTGGTTTTGTAAAGGTTCCTCTGTCATGTGGGGAGACTTTATTGTTTTGCTGCATATTGTTGTTCTGATAATAAAGGTGCAAGTTTAGTAGCGACTTTTTACTAGAAGGAACTGGATCGGGTTCTTACAGAATTCATTGGCACAAATTGGTTTTGTGTTTGGGACTCAAACTCAGGGAAATTAAAGCCTAATGTCCTGTCTTGAACAGGTAAAATGAAAACTGTTGATGATTCCTCTCCGTGTGTGGAGATACGAGGCTTGACTCCATTTCAGAAGGCTGATTTATTAAGTTAGATATTATATTAAAATACTACATTAAGACTATACTAAAAGAACAGAGAGATCAGAAGGCTCAACAAGAACGAACAGAACAGAATAACAAAAATCCTGTGACTGCTCACAGCCTTGGCACAGGTGGCTGTGATTGGTCATCAATGGAAAACAATCCACATGGACCAATCACAGATGCACCTGTTGCATTCCACAGCAGCAGATAGTAATTGTTTACATTTCTCTCCTGAGGCTCCTCAGCTTCTCAGGAGAGGAAAAATCCCAGCAAGGATTTTCCATAATATCATGGCTACAGAAAACCAGTGAAGTTTACAGTGCATTGCTTGCTTATCTGAAGACTTATAAAATTGACTTCTATACAAACTATTTTTGCAAACTTCAGAGGCCTCTCAGTACCTGAAGGGAGCCTACAATAAGGATAGAGAGATCATTTACAAGGGTATGTAGTGAGAGGAAAAGGAGGAATGGCTACAAACTAGAATAGAATAGTTTTAGATTAGATATTAGGAAAAAATTCTTTACTGTGTGAGTGATGAGGCACTGGAACAGCTTTCCAAGAGAATGGATGTGGATGAGAATAGATGCCTCATCCCTGGAAGTGTTCAAGGCTAGGTTGGATGGGGCTCTGAACAACCTATTCTAGTGAATGTGCCCCTGCCCATGTCAGGGGTTGGAAGAAGATGATCTTGAAAGTTCCTTCCAACCCAAATCATTACAGAATTCATTACTCTTGTATATATAAGTCCTAAGTAATCAGCGTTAATATATTAATTAATGTAATTACATGTTTGTGCTAAGAAATAGGTTATATGGGCTAATGATGCCCAAACTCTGTTCTTTGATTGTTTTGAGTTGCATATAGTGAATAGGAAGTGAAAGCAATTTATGCAATTATGTGGATGTAAAAAATCAGATCTGACAGACCATGGATTTCAGGGGAGTGCTGTTATATGCCTCAAATGTACTGTTAGGCTGGCAGTTGACTCCAATGACCCAAAGAACCACAGACCAGCTCAAAATACATCACCACAGGATTTCCCCGTGGTTGAAAGTTTTTGTTGGGATACTGTTTTATTTCTTTTTTAATTATAGGTTATACCCTGGAAAACTAGGGGTGCAATGTAACCTTGTAATTGGCAACCACAAAACTCTGCCCTGCTTTCTAAAATGTCAACAATGTACTCATCAAATGCTCTCAAGGTTGCCATAAAGTGGAGCTTATGTGGAGATTTTTGAAGCACTGGTGAAGTTTTGATTCCAAGTACAAAAATCAGCTTAGTTCCAGATTTTTTTGTATGTATGAGGTCCTAGTAAATATTCTCATTGAGCAAGAGTGTTGCTTTACAGGGCTGAGGATGAAAAGCTGCAATGCATTTCTGAGCACGGGTGACAATCCAGTCTTCGAAGGTTTCATTGCACTCACAACTGGAGTATTGGAAGAAACAGATTTGAAAATATCAGGCTCAGGGCAGTTTGGCAGAGCAGCCAAGTGGGTAGCTGGAAGAGCTGCAGGGAACAGACTCAATTTGGGCTGTTAGCTGAGTAAGGCATGACTAATAAGATTTTTTAACAAAGCATTTTTAGAGTCTATTGAAACCATCTATTTCCCTTGAAGAAAATAAAACATTAGCAAGTTTTCCCACTAATTTTAAAATAAAGCTCATGGTCTCACATTTAGCTTGTGTGGTGGGAAACTCCCTACAGTTAACTTCTGAAACCTTTCACTTTGGAAACCTTTCTAGGATTTAATAATCATCAGTGAATTGAGCTACTTAGGTAATTAAGCATTCAGCTGTTCTGCCATCTCAGTGTACAAATGGGTGCCTGCTTTTCATGTCAGGTGGGGTTAGAATGTTGGACAGAAGAATACTGAATTAATTGGAAAATTAACATAGATTGAATTACATTTGTGTGAGCTGTCAGTGATTTGGATGGGGAGGCTGGAAGTGTTTATTGGGGGATGCAGCAGTGTGGGGAGCAGGCATGGGCTTTAAATGCATGGGGGCAGGAAAGTGTTTTGGATTGTGGTACTTATTGAGATGGAGGACAGGTGGAATTTGTGCCATGGCATGAATAATACATGGCATAATAATTTTTTTTCCTTTTCCTCTGGTGGGTTTGTGTTTTGGTGCCAGGCATAATGCAAAGGATGACTTTCACTGAATGTAAGTGCTTTCAGCAGGCTATTGATTAAGAGTGTGACAGTATTGGTTTACTTTGTTTAAACTTAGTAGGTTCTGTAGCTATAGGGCCAGGGGGAATGGTTTTAAATGGAAACCATAGAGTAGATATAAGGGCTGGCTGCAACCAGCTTGGATAGAGATGAGAGCCTTCAGCTTCCCTCAGCCCTGAATGACCACAAGATATGGAAATTTAGGCTTACTTTTCTTATGAACATCACAGCTCAAGGTGTGCTCTCTGTGCGGGATTTTCAACTCCCTCCCCCAATTTTTCCTCTTCTATTAGGATTTTAAGAGAATAAAGCACATTTCAGACACTGGTGACATGTGAAAATTAGACCAGATAAATGAAAAAATACAAGTAATAGCATTGGCATCTGTACTGCAAAGCAGAATGCCTATTTTGCCACTGAGGAGACTGGGAAATGACATAAGGGAGAAGTGTCAGTGCTGTAAAAAAGCAACACTTCTCACAAATGGTAATTATGGGTGGAATTTATCTTGAGTACAGTGAGGCAGTAATGTCTCCTGGGAGTTTTCAACAAATACTGGAGCCTTAACAAAAATATTTTCCTATCTTCTTCCTAGTCTTGATGTAGCAGGTTCCTCCAGCCCATGGTGGCTCAGAGCACTCTCCTCTCTGACCATGCACTTTGCAGCTCTTTGGAGCCGCTCCTTTGTATCTAATAGGTCTTACCCAGGACTTGGAATTGCATTGAAAAGCTGGTTCACTTTGAGCATAGGTAATTTTATTTCAACAGCTTAGTCAACTCCAGTGTTTGCCTGCACACAGAAAAGGAGTGTGGGCAGAACAGAGCAGGTTTTTGACACTGAGGCTGCCTTTGGATCAGCAGGCATTGCCCAGCAGGAAATGGTTGTGGTGCACTGCAGTGTGCTGTGGATCCTGCCTGTTCTGCTGCTCAAGCTGTGGTTTGTCCAAGGACTTCATGAAGGAGCTTCTTCACCTTAGTAAAGAAGTCTACCAGCTTGTTGAGTGGAAATGGGCAGGAGCTAACCTCACCCAATGGTGTTGGCTTTGGAGTGGGGGGTGCTGTTGGCCAAGGCTTTTGAGAAGGGATTGGTGTAGGCAATGGATTATAAATAGGGGGTTGTGTTGGCCATGGCTTAGGAGTGGGAGGTGGTGTTGGCCATGGCTTAGAAGTGGGAAGTGGTGTTGGCCATGGCTTAGGAGTGGGAGGTGGTGTTGGCCATGGCTTATGAGTGGGAGGTGGTGTTGGCCATGGCTTATGAGTGGGAAGGGGTGTTGGCCATGGGTTAGGAGTGGGGGGTCGTGTTGGCCATGGGTTAGGAGTGGGGGGTCGTGTTGGCCATAGGTTAGGAGTGGGGGGTCGTGTTGGCCATGGCTTATGAGTGGGAAGGGGTCGTGTTGGCCATGGCTTAAGAGTGGGAAGGGGGCGAGTTGGTAGGTGAGCCGTCACAAAATGACTCCAGGTTTTTGATGTTGGAGAACCCCTTCCAAGTGTGTTTGTGCCTGTATGGACCAGGATCCAGTCATAGAAGTGCTGAGTGGAGATGTAGACTCCAGGCTGCTTTGCTCTGGCACAGCCTTTTCCCCAGCTGGTCACTCCGACAATCCACCAGTAGTCAGCATTGTTGTCCTGGCACATGAGAGGGCCACCGCTGTCACCCTGCAGTAGAGCACAGAGGATTAAGATGGTGTTGGTGGCACCTGCCAGCACTGGGGCTGTCTCCTTCTCTCTCACAGCCCCTAACAGAGCTGTATTCTGGGCAGAGGAAAGCTCTGCTCAGGGGCTGGAGCCTCCAGAAGCTTGGCTGTGAATGGCACGGGGTCCTCTATAGCGTAGGGCTCTCTGTGTTGTCCCTGCACAGGACTCCTGGATGTGCAGAGGATGGACGTTTGGTACCTGGACCTCTGTGCTGCCAAGCTAGCTAGCTGGGCTTTTGGCACAAGGGGAGTCCTGGGTAGGCAGGTGTGGATGGGGAGTGTGTGGGAAGCCCCCAGAGCAGTCGGGGGGGAGCAGGGGCTGGGAGGGCGACGGAGTGGCCAGGCAAAGCAGGCCCTGGGCTGTGTTGGGGCGGTGCTGCCCTGGCTGCCAGTGCTGCTGGGGCTAGTGGCTTGTGGCACGCTCTTACCTGGCAGGTGTCGATGAAGCCCTGCGGGTAACCAGCACACAAGTTGTGGGTATGGATTTCCCCTGCATACCAGTCACTGCTGTTGCAGAGCTGGACATCGATGAGCTGGACCTTGGCCTCCTGCAAGTGATCACTTGCTTGTTGAGCTGTGAGCAGAGAAAGGAATGAACCCTGAGCACCACATTGCCCATTCTCCTCTCCTTACTTGGGAAGGGTATTCTCTTCTGTAGGGTTTGGCTTTGCCTCTGCAGAGACACTGTGGTGCTGTGACCCTGCTGCCTGCCGCTGGGGAGCAGGCCTGGCCCATATCTGCAGGGGTGTACATCCTGCAGCCTGGCTTTGGCCTCTGCTGTGGGGAAGCCCAAACCCTCTCCCCAGTGTGCTGAGCTGGCAAAGAAGTTGCTCTTGGAACTCACATCTTGCAGTAGTGGCACCCCAGCCAGCAATCCAGCAGTTTTGCAGCTCTGAGACTCTTAGGGTGGGGTCAGCCACACAGGCCAGCTGAATGTAGGGGCTGCACTTGACAGGATGGTCCAACTCCAGCAGGGCAATGTCGTAGCTCATGTCAGCAGGATTGTAGTACTGGTGTATCAGCACCTGCTTGACACTGCGCATTTGTGCCCCATGGCCTGACTGAGTCAACTGGGTGGCCCCAATCACCACGTACAGCAGGCTGATGTTACTGGAAAGGAGATGGAGAGAGAGCCATGTGCCACAGGAGCCCAGCAGTTGACAGAACTTGGCTTGGAAAGGCAGAGAGGGAGCAGTGCTCTGGCAGGTATGAGTGCTCTCACACAACTTAGGGTGAGGGAATGTCAAGCTGGAAGCTGCTAGGAAACCTGGCACAAGCCCAGGCTTCTCCTGAGCAAGGTGGCAGCCTGGCTGCCTGAGAGGAAAGGGGATGGGAGTAGCAGGTGATGCTGCTGACAGGGCACCTGCTGGGATTGTGGGGATGTCCCCATTCCCTGCTCCTCCTTACTCAAACTTGTCGAAGCAGTGGGCTGCTGTGAGGACCCACTGTGTGCTGATGAGTGACCCTCCACACCAATGCCCTGGGTCTGGTACCCAGGGGTGCTGGATGCTGACAATCCAGGGCCAGGCCCCTGGCAGGGCACCGGCGCCACCCACGATGCGTGTCATGCCAGAGTCATAAGCCATGTCACCGTAGTAGTACGTCATGAGGCCGTAGTCAGACACCACAGCTCGGAGTCCGCAGGTCCCTCTGCAAGCAGAAAGTAATTTCCGTGCTGCTTCGTGGCCTGCTGTGGCTCAGGCTGAAGCTCAGCCCTCTGCCCTCCCCACAAGGGCTTGCACACACAGCAGGCCAGGGAAGCCCATGGGTTGTGCGTCTGTCCATGCCAGCACCTGGTTGCTGGCAAGGAACTGGGGCTTCCTGTGGTGGGTGGGAAGCTGTGGCCTGGCCATGGGGGACAGGCAGGTACTCTCCAGGGAAGGCCGCAAGTGCTGCCGTGGCTCCCCCCCAGGGTCTGGGGCCACTTACCCGCAGTTGTCCCATGTCCCGTGTGCCAGCCCGACCACAGTCAGCAGGACGAGGAAGCTGAACCAGTTCATGGCTGCCAGAGGCACGTGTCAGCTGCAAGCACTGAGGGCTCCGCACAGCAGCACAGCCACAGCCGCAGTGCCCACAGCACCCGTTGTGCCCATGGTGCCCTTTGCCCTGGGGCTGATGTCACAGAGGGGTGGGTTCCATGTTCTGGGCCCTGTGGGGTTCTGTGGCACAGGGCCCACTGGGGGAGGGGCAACATCTAACTGAGAAACCGTAGAATGGTTTGGGTTGGCAGGGACCTTTGTGATCATCTAGCTCTGACCCCCTTGCCTTGGGCATGGCGGGATGGCTTGCAGTAGACCCAGTTGTCCACAGTGTATACATCTTGGCTCAGAAGCTGTCCTTGAACGCTTTGAGGGATGGGGCATTGAAGTACAAAGTCCTGATCAACAGGCCCTGACTAAGGCCTGAACAAGAGGCCTTAGCAAAAATTGGCCAGTAGATGGACCTTTAAAACAAATGTTATCTATATCCACTCACTGGAGAAATATGGATTTACCTTTCCATACTTAGGAACTGGACAAGGCCACATCTGGCCTTGTTTTTAGGATGTGGGATCACAGAAAAATCTGTTGTTTTCTCCTGGAGCCCTCCCAGGCCTTGGGAGCATACCAGTAGGAAAATGAGGCCAGATGTTACTGCAGTAGAAATTTTGTTATCTTGCTTATGCCACAGTATAAAAACGGGGACCTCTCACAGCCCAGTCAGAAACTTCACTGCTTGTAGGGGAAGGCACCTGCAGGATTTCCCAGGTGCTGTCAGTGGTTCCCCTGTGCTTCACTATGAAAGTGACTTCCCCCTAGCTGATGGGCAGGCCTGGATGATGGTAAAGGATTAGGGTAAATTGTGATGTGTCTTTCTTCCACAATGTAGGCAGTCTTTTATAATTATGATTAGATGCATGGCCTATCTTGTCCTTTTGTAAATATTTGCTAATGATTTGATGTCCTGTTTACTTATCCATTTGCAATTTTAAATTATAGTAAATTACAGTTATTCCTGCAGTTGGTGTCTGTGTCTTCTGCGCTGACCCTGCCTCCATGAAAAACAGGCATCCACCTGGATGGATATGGAAACCTGCTCTGACTGGGTGAGAGTGGTGTGGGTAGGGAATCAAACAGGGCAACCATCGGCTCATTGGAGCCACCTGTGTTTCCAAAATGGTCACACAGGGGACTTTCCTCAGCACTTCGGCAGCCCAGATGGGACCCAAGGGCAGTACTGCTGCAGCCTCTGTCCTTCAGAGCAGGTACTGGTGAGTTCACCTGGGATCTTTAGAGCAGGAAGGAGCCAAATGGGGAGTGTTACAATTCTGTGTGCAGATTCTGTGTAAATTATAAGGGTGAATTTGAGCCTCTCTATTGTTGTGGCATTTGGTGCAGATTTGGTGAAATCACTGGTAGAGGGTGGAGAAGGCATGCAGAGCATGATCAGCATAAGACGGCCACAGAGGAGTTGTGGAGGCCCCTGTGAGGTGGGGGGCCCTGACTCTCTGCTAGGACACTCAAGTGTCTGTTCAAAGGCTTTGGGAGAGATGCACAGGGGAGAGCCTTGTGTCCTTCATGCCACACAATGGGTGCTAGGGTCCCTGGGCGCACACAGAAGGGGTGGAAGTCCCTTCATGAGGGACTCCTTCAGAAAGGGGTTTCACATGCCTCGAGGTGTTTGATGTGATGGGAAATATCCCTGGTTTAGGTGAGGAGATGTCCGTGGCTGAGGTTGCGCAGAACTGGGAGAAATTGTTTGGGCAGCAGAATTTTGCCAAGAGAGTGCAATAAGGTTATTCCGGGATGATTGGGTGACACTAAGCTGGTCTGCTCACTGGACAGGGTAACGGCCATCCCCAACCCTGAGTGACACTCTTTCACTCAGTGTCTTTAGTGACCTGGCAGCCCCTGAAATTTACTTCAAGAAATATTTGAAGAAGCTTATACCAGGGTGGCAGGGATCAGTACAGACGTGGGGTGGTTGCTCTCAGCACAGCCCTTCTTGATTAACACAAAGGGAGGAGTGCCACCTGCTGTGAGACAGGACACCATTGCCCTTGTTATAGATATGGGTAGTAATTCATGGGAATAAAAAGTGTATCAAAATATAGATGTATAAAATAAACCGCTGGTGTACAAGGGGCGGGGGGGGGGGGGGGGGGGGAACTCTTCCCCAGGATGGCGAAACCACGGCAGATGGACGGGGAGGCAACACCACATTTGCATTCTCCAGCAGCACAGGAGATGGACATTCACAAACACCTATGCCCAGTGACGCCCAGGTGATGATGGCCCAGACAAGATGCCTATCTGAGATGACCAGGCCATCAACACCTTCCATCGAACTGGGGAAGCGTATCATTCTATTCCCAGATGGAGGCTTTGTGCAGCCCGAGCCTGAGAAAGAAACCAACTTGAATATGAAAAACTCAGAAAGAAACAAAGACATTCTGCCTTGTGCAAAATAAATTGTTTAAGAACTGCTGCCTCGAAGCAGCCAGGGTGGACGGGGTGGATTTGGTGCTAGCAAGGCCATTTCTCACGTTTTCACCTTCCGGGATTGGTACGCTGTCCGATTTGGTTGGTGGCTGTCGAGACTGTATTACGGTCGCGAAATAAATTTTTATTTTATTTTTATTAAAATTGGCTATTTTTTTCATTTTTCATTTATAACACCCTGGTGATGCCAGATTGATTTTTTGCCTTTTTTCTTTTATATATTCTCCGTATTCTTTACACATATATTTGTAACTCTGTAGCCTTTGTTGTAACTCTGTAGCCTGTTGTTATATCTCCAGCTAGTTTTTCCAGTACTTTTCCCTAACTTTTCTCTAAGCAGAAAGAGAAAATATAATTCAGAGCTCCAAGCCCTGGAGAGTATAAGGCCCCTAAACCTATATTGGTTCTTCATGGGAACCAAGGCTGGAAACAACTCTTTGAGATACATTTTCATAAACCAAGTTTAGTTTCCATCTGTTTGGGGGAGGATTCAGAGACTGTTGAATCGCGGGAGGAATTACTTCACCATGTGGTCCTAATTGGTGATTTTTGTCAAACATGCTAATTTACTAAGCTTATAAAACTCTATTCACCACATGTAGGGGAGAAATTCTATGGTCATTTGCCATATCTGCCACTGGAGGCCTCCAATAAAGATCAGCCTTTATATTACCTCCTATACTAACATTATGTGGAAAGTGTATTGTTTTGTTTCTAGGTTCTTTAAGGTATCACTTGAAACCACAAAGAATATCCAGAAGCAGGTGGAGTGAGACCCAGTCCAAGGCATTTTAAAACATTCCATTAGATGAAGAAAGTCAATGTTCACTTGTCTTCACCTGCAAAAGACAGGTGAAAACTGCCTTTAACAAGTCTACCCCATGGCATTCCTGGATCCTCTACCATTCCTCCCCTCCCCACCCAACAGTATCAAAATTTGATTGAAAAGGGCAAAAAATTTGGTACAAATTTGTACAGTTTGTAGATTATTTGTTAATTAGAGAGTTGAGATAAGAACGTTCTTTCCAATCCTGTGGTGATTGGAAAATGGGATTGAAAACCTCAGGCAAATGAGCACACCAAGCTGCAGTTTGTGCAGCTGGCTGTTTGATTGCTCCTTCTCTCCATTGGCCAGGCTATTACAGCCCTCTCATCTTCCTCAGCTCCTCCTTTTCTCTGCCCTCATTTCCCTCCAAATATGGAGCCAAGTCCAGGCATCATTTCCACCTGGTTCACAGGTTGGCCCTGCCTGTGAACAGCCTTGGTGTTGCAGGTGGTGTTACAGGCCCACTCACCTTGGCCCTCTGTGGCATTCCTGGTGTATGTTCCCACAGTTCCTGCCAGGTTCCTCTCCCAGAATGACCCCAGCTCTTCCTTTGAGTATCTGTGAAGTGTGACCACTTGGCACATCAATCCCCCTTTGCTACCCATGAAATCTGGCTCTGCCTTAGGGCACTAGCACTCTAGTCAGAAGCCAGGAGTTTCCCTGTAGGAGAATAGAGATAGTGGTAATCTCACTCCTAAGGAGTTACAGCTGTGCTAATTATCAAGAATTAGGAACAGGCCTGCCCTTAACAGGCCACAGCTGGATCCAATTAGGAGGTGTATTGTAAAAGAGCAGGTTGGCTGGCCCAGAAGGTTGGATAGAGTTTGTTGGCTGCGCTGCGCTGCGCTGCCCAGCCCAGCCCAGCCCATGAGAAATCACCAAGAAGGCGTGAGACCTTTGCAATAAGAGAGCAACAATTGGCGACACCGATGTGATCAAGGACCCAGGATGGTGCTGGGTTCCCCCTGAATAGCAGTGTGTGCAACAGGACACAAGCTGCATGACACAAGTGGCAAATGGCATAGGCACAGCAGCAGCCAGTGCCTTAGCCGTAGCATGGCCCCCGAGGAGTACGGGGGGAGGTTTGCTAAGTCACTGCTACATGAGCACTGGAACAAAAGCCACATGGAGTTCTGAGAGGCAGAGTCAGAGTTGCACAGAAAACATGTAAGAGAAGCCTTCTAAAATTGCATAATGGCCCTCTCCACAGTAACCCAACATGATTGGGAGTGGCCTGTAGGGTGAGGTGCAGCCGGAGATAGAGCCCAGCGTAGCATTGAGAGCAGCAGGGGAAGCTGCCCTGGTCCGGACCTGACAGATTTTGACACCTGAGGTACAGGTGAGCTGCTGGGGACACAATGAGAAATAACATATTAAGTGCAGATTGTTTTATATACATGGAAAGAAGTTAAAAAAAGACTGAAATATAGCGTCAAAATGGGGGCAAGGCAGCTGCAGATTTGGCTGCCACCTGGAAAGCACTCTATAAGACTTTAAAAGAATGGCAAATAGAGCAAGACAAGAGAGGCTTGCAGTGATCAACTAATGCAACAAAAACTGTGGAATGAAGAAGAGAATTATTAAAACAGCATTGGGGAAAGGGAAAAGAGCAACTCTAGTATGGTGTATTTGTTTGCTGATGAAAAGTGCATTTTGTTTGTGAATTGCAACTATGAATCTTTGATTAGGCATAAGTGTAAAAGTTTATATTCCATAACCGTAAGTATACTCAACAGATGCTGGATCAATGTTACTCAAGGTTCCAT